GTTTCATCATGCGTGAAACCAACAGTGGGGGCAATGATGGAAAGTCCACGGCCAAGTCCGCGCGGGAATGCTTGAGAAGGCCAGGGCCGGCGAAGAAGAGGTGGAAGCCGCCATCCCTGCTGCCCGGACAAGTATCGCCGTTCGCAACCGCAGGCAACTCGGGGCAACCAGCCACTCCGCGTGTGGTCCGGCTGTGGCGCGAGGCTAAAGACGTGCCCGAACTTCGTCGACCACATCACCGCAAGACGGGAGCACGAAGAAGACCTCTACAGACCGGTGACTACCGCTTCCTGGCAGACGGAGGAGATGTTTGCGAGGAAGCCGTAGCCACCGGTCTGCAGAGGTCCTCTTCGTGCTTCTGCCTCGCGGCGATGTGGTCGACGAAATTGGGACACGCCTGTAGCCCGGCGTCACGGCCGGGGCACATGCGGAGTGCCTGGTATTGAAAACACGGCGATAGTGTCCTGGTCGGGACGCGGGGCACGTGGAAGCGGTAACGCATGGTTGGTCGGACGCAACTTGCAAGCATACCCTCCCCAACGGAGGTGGAGGAAGTTGGATAGGCAACACCCAACCGCGTGAGAGCACATTTTGGTGCAAAGGCTGTCTTCTCTCACGATATCATACCGGTATGTGTGGCCCGGTATGTCATCATCAGCTCATGCCCTTGTTACAGGAACACCAGGTGCCAGGTGACGTCACTGCCGTCGTTCGTGGCGTCTCACCTCCATCATTCAACGCACATTTTGTCCAACTGCGCCCGGCACATGCTCTCGGGCCTGAAAGACACCGCAAAACCGGTTGCCCGCAGGGTGCGGCAGAGGGACGGATTGTTGACGTCGAGGCAGATCTCTGACATACATTGTAGTCTACTGATAGATCTCATCATGCAGACAACCAGCCAATCATCAAACGAAACAGGCTCTACCAGCCCCTAGCGTGCGCACCCTCTTTCTAGCATGACCTCTCGGTAAGCCAGAGACTCGAAAGAGCGCGCGTTACTCAGCGCTCAAGTTGCGCCCAAGGTTGGGCCGCAATATACGCTCCCGTGAGACGTGCTGCGTGAGCATGCTACTTTGGCATTCCATTACTGTAGCCATGTCATGTGGCCCCATCTCCACCTCGCGTCGAAGACACCGACGACGTGGAAGAGGCGATCGGTGTGCTTCACCCCCCGCCTTGGACCAAGTTCCGAAACTGGGATCTTTCTCCACTCTCAATGCCAAACGATACGTGTTCTTGTTCCGCCCCCAAACTACACACATATTTCCAACTCTGCCCTTTCCTGCACAGGCACCGCTTCTCCTGCGGTAGCTCGATGCCACCTACGGAAGCAGGGCGAGAACAGGACGATCGACATGCTCAAGCCAACAAGCCACCGTACGCCAAGTTCTTCCGCAACATTTGGTGAGAGCAAGACCCGACGTATGTTCCGACGCACGAGTCCTTGCGTCTCCGCGGAGACGATGCGTGGATTGCTGACTGTCTGCTTTTCGTACTCTTACTCGCAAAGCAGACCTTCCTTGTGCTCCACGAACTCTGCTGACGAACGGAGCCAGACCCTCAATCCTACAAATCACAACAAGGTTTGATCAACAATGGCCTCATCATCAAGTGTCATCTTGGCATCCTCGGCGCAACGAAGAAGCGAGCCACACCCCCGATGACCACTACTCCTGCCCATCACGTGACCCGCCTGGTCGACACGAAGACCAGGTTTTGCCAGTTCTGCGGGAAGCGAGACTCAAGTATAGGTGGACGGAGGGGGGAGCTTTCCGCTCACTCAGGTTTCGATGTCAACCTATTGCGCGCCCGTGCTATGAACTGAGATCGCAACCGGAGTGAGCGAAAGCTCCACCCGCCTTCGACGTATATTTGAGTTTCGTTTACCGCAGAGCTGGCCGAAGCTGGTCTTCGCTTCCACTAGGTAGGCGCGTCACGTGATGGGGAGGAGTATCGGTCATCGGAAGTTTGGCTCTTTTGTTCGTTGCGGCGAGGATGCCACGATGATGCCAGGCACTTGATGAGGATGGGGCCGTTGTTGATCAAATGCTTTGATTTGTAGACTCTTGGGTGATCTCTTGTTAAGTAGAGAGCAAGGAAGGACTGCTTTGAAGGAGGGAGTGTACGAAGTGGGCAGCTGCGGGGCTACGAGCTGCAAGACAAATGATACGCCGCATTTACGAAACGGAACCAGACGCCAATCGCAACCTTTGTGTTTGGTCGGTCGGTCGAATCACTTTCTACTCTTGACATTATCACAACAAAATATCAATATTCTATCGTTATGTTCAGGTAGACCAGAACAATTCATATTTCATCAGAGAAGGACTACATAGACTACTGCCCACAAATATGCAAGGGAGCGTATTGATGAACGCATTACAGGGAGGCAATTTTCTTTGGTGATGGTTCGTCTTCATTCAATTTGTCTACTCGCTCCATCTGGCATCGATGTGGGAACCTATTAGTCAGCTATATAGTGTCTTCACTTCAACAATGTCCAGTGCCCGGCGCTTCCTCTAGCCAGAAGCGTATTTGGAGTGTAAACAATTCTATCGAATACACCCCCTTGTGTATTTCTCGAGAGGGACCGTATGTAGTTGCATCTGTGGCCAGATGTATTTCGGACCCAAACGTTTGTTTGTCCTTGTCGTTTTCCGTCTGTCTGTGGATAAGAGGATACTTAATTTTCCTCGTCGTGTAGGGGG